GAGAAGGAGAGGAGAGAGAGAGAGAGAGAGAGAGGTGAGGAGAGAGAGAGAGATATAGAGAGAGAGAGAGACAGAGAGAGAGACAGAGACGGAGATAAAAAAACTGTAGAATATTCTTTGAAAACCAAATAAAAAAACACAATTTTAGATTTGGAATAATTCACTGCGAGTCGCAATAAGGGACAATCCCACTTAAAGAGGGGGCATGGGGGATTGAACCCCCCAATCCCCCCCCCCCCAATTCTACCTTTAATGGTACCTCTCAGACACGAACACAACGACCAAGTTGCACGAAACTAGGCCTGCAACAGTAGATAAACAGGCCTCCCAATTGCACAGATATACATGTGTGTGTGAGTGTGTGTGTGTGTGTGTGTGTGTGTGTGTGTGTGTGTGTGTGTGTGTGTGTGTGTGAGTGTGTGGTGTGGTGTGTGTGTGTGTGTGTGTGTGTGTGTGTGTGTGTGTGTGTGTGTGTGTGTGTGTGTGTGTGTGTGTGTGTGTTCGCACGCGCGTGTGTCATTTGTCAGGTGGAGGACTGATGACTTCACCAGCACTGGTGGAGGAGGAACTACAGGATAGACTCCCCCTCCCCCCCTACCTCCCCTCTGGCTCCTCCAACACTCTCCAACGCTCAATTTCCTCATTCATCAACACTGTGTTCCATAGCATCTTAGATATCGCAAGTTAGAGGGGCGAGATAGCTCGCTATCCTATAGCATTCTGGGGAGATTAGCGTGGGAGGGGAGGTGGGAGAGGCGTCATTGGGAGGAAGGGGGAGGGGGGGGTGTGCTTCTGGGAATGAGAGACGCAAGATAGTTTGATTTAAAGATGATTCATAGAATATCCGGCACACGCAAACACACGCAAGCACACACACACACATGAAGACACATGTTAATATATATGAATGTAGGTTGGCACCCACGCACACTCCCCCCCACCTCTCTCTCTCTCTCTCTCTCTCTCTCTCTCTCTCTCTCTCTCTCTCTCTCTCTCTCTCTCTCTCTCTCTCTCTCTCTCTCTCTCTCTCTCTCTCTCTCTCAAAGTAAACCAAAAAATTAAGAAACAGGCACAATAAAGAAAGATTAAGCCACAGGTAGATTAAGACATTGTAAATACCCACACTGGTAGATTAAGACATTGTAAATACCCACACTGGTAGATTAAGACATTGTAAATACCCACACTGGTAGATTAAGACATTGTTAATACCCACACTGGTAGACTAAGACATTGTAAATACCCACACTGGTAGATTAAGACATTGTAAATACCCACACTGGTAGATTAAGACATTGTAAATACCCACACTGGTAGATTAAGACATTGTAATACCCACACAGGTAGATTAAGACATTGTAAATACCCACACTGGTAGATTAAGACATTGTAAATACCCACACTGGTAGATTAAGACATTGTAAATACCCACACTGGTAGATTAAGACATTGTAAATACCCACACAGGTAGATTAAGACATTGTAAATACCCACACTGGTAGATTAAGACATTGTAAATACCCACACTGGTAGATTAAGACATTGTTAATACCCACACTGGTAGATTAAGACATTGTAAATACCCACACAGGTAGATTAAGACATTGTTAATACCCACACTGGTAGATTAAGACATTGTAAATACCCACACAGGTAGATTAAGACATTGTAAATACCCACACAGGTAGATTAAGACATTGTAAATACCCACACAGGTAGATTAAGACATTGTAAATACCCACACTGGTAGATTAAGACATTGTAAATACCCACACTGGTAGATTAAGACATTGTTAATACCCACACAGGTAGATTAAGACATTGTTAATACCCACACTGGTAGATTAAGACATTGTAAATACCCACACTGGTAGATTAAGACATTGTTAATACCCACACAGGTAGATTAAGACATTGTTAATACCCACACAGGTAGATTAAGACATTGTAAATACCCACACTGGTAGATTAAGGCCGACTGGTACCCTAAGGGGTAGATGCCTTGAGGATTAGGTACCTCAAGTGGTAGATACCTCGAGAGGTAGATAGGTCAAATGGTAGATACCTCAAGGGGTAGATAGCTCAAATCGTAGATACCTCGAGAGGTAGATAGCTCAAATTGTAGATACCTCGAGGGGTAGATAGCTCAAATGGTAGATACCTCGAGGGGGGTTAAGGGGTAGAGAAGGGTAGATATAGCCATGAGGAAAAGAGGAAGAACCCGTAGGCAAGATTGCTGTAACATTTCCTGCAATTTCATTCAGTAATTATTTCTGTGTATACATTACCACCCCCCCTGCCCCCCCCCCCGCCCACTGAGGCCTGGTGCAAGGCACTTCCCTAGAGTGACGCCACACCCCCCAGCCAACCCCCCTCTCAGCACACACCCCAGCCACACCCCTCTCAGCCACACCCCCCTCAGCCACACCCCCCAGCCACACCCCTCTCTCTCATCCACACCCCCCAGCAACCCCCCTCTCAGCCAAACACCCCCAGCCACACCCCTCTCAGCCACACCCCCCCAGCAACCCCCCTCTCAGCCACACCCCCCAGCAACCCCCCTCTCAGCCACACACCCCCCAGCAACACCCCCCCCTCAGCCACACCCCCCAGCAACACAACACCCCCCCTCAGCCACACCCCCCAAGCCCCACCTCTGATTCACTCTCCTCTTAGAAGCTGGTATGACACCACACCAATAAGGGTCTATAACCTGTCTCTTCGTCAACCTAGTGACGTCAAAGTGACGTCACGCATCATATCTAAACCATATGGTAGCTCTCAGACTGGCAGCTCGCAGACTGGCAGCTCTCAGACTGGCAGCTCTCAGACTAGTAGCTCTCAGACGGGCAGCTCTCAGACGGGCAGCTCTCAGACTGGTAGCTTTCAGACGGGCAGCTCTCAGACTGGCAGCACTCAGACGGGTAGCTCTCAGACGGGAAGCTCTCAGGCGGGTAGCTCTCAGACGGGCAGCTCTCAGACTGGGAGCATAAAGACTGGTAGCTCTCAGACTGGAAGCTCTCAGACTGGAAGCTCTCAGACTGGTAACTCTCAGACTGGGAGCTCTCAGACTGGTAGCTCTCAGACTGGCAGCTCTGAGATTGGCAGCTCTCTGACTGGAAGCTCTCAGACTGGTAGCTCTCAGACTGGTAGCTCTCAGACTGGAAGCATACAGACTGGAAGCTCTCAGACTGGAAGCATACAGACTGGAAGCTCTCAGACTGGAAGCATACAGACTGGAAGCTCTCAGACTGGTAGCTCTCAGACTGGCGGCTCTCAGACTGGAAGCTCTCAGACTGGCAGCTCTCAGACTGGAAGCTCTCAGACTGGCAGCTCTCAGACTGGTAGCTCTGAGACTGGCAGCTCTGAGACTGGAAGCTCTCAGACTGGAAGCTCTCAGACTGGCAGCTCTCAGACTGGAAGCTCTCAGACTGGCAGCTCTCAGACTGGCAGTTCTCAGACTGGGAGCATACAGACTGGAAGCTCTGAGACTGGCAGCTCTCAGACTGGTAGCTCTCAGACGGGCAGCTCTCAGACGGGCAGCTCTCAGACTGGTAGCTTTCAGACGGGCAGCTCTCAGACTGGCAGCTCTCAGACGGGTAGCTCTCAGACGGGAAGCTCTCAGGCGGGTAGCTCTCAGACTGGCCGCTCTCAGAGTGGCAGCTCTCAGACTGGAAGCTCTCAGACTGGCAGCTCTCAGACTGGAAGCTCTCAGACTGGCAGCTCTCAGACTATCAGCTCTCAGACTATCAGCTCTCAGACTGGCAGTTCTCAGACTGGCAGCTCTCAGACTATCAGCTCTCAGACTGGCAGCTCTCAGACTGGAAGCTCTCACACTGGCAGTTCTCAGACTGAGAGCATACAGACTGATAGCTCTCAGACTGGCAGCTCTCAAACTGGCAGCTCTCAGACTGGTAACTCTCAGACTGGTAACTCTCAGACTGGAAGCTCTCAGACTGGAAGCTCTCAGACTGGTAGCTCTCAGACTGGTAGCTTTCAGACTGGCAGCTCTCTGACTGGAAGCTCTCAGACTGGCAGCTCTTAGACTGGCAGCTCTCAGACTATCAGCTCTCAGACTGGCAGCTCTCAGACTATCAGCTCTCAGACTCAATCCTGACTCATCTCAACTCTCAATCACAGCTCTCTCATTTTCACCTCACCCGCCACCCCCAACTCTTCAACCCATCTCATTTCTACACTCCTTTTCACCCCTACTCAGAACCCCGCGGCTCCCAGAGGACAGTGGGTGCCCCAAGAGGTCAAAGTTCCTCCTACAGGAAGTTCCTCCTGCTCCCACGAGGTGTTCCTGGAAGACTTGACAGCGAAAGACCACTGAGAAAGGACACGGGAGTGCAGGAAATGAATCTGAACACACGCACGCACACGCACACGCACGCACACACACACACACACACACACACACACACACACACACACACACACACACACACACACAGACACACACACACACACACACACACACACACACACACGCATGCACACACACAGGCCTCCATATAGAGGCTGACTCCATACACAGCTTCAAATGTAGATATGATAGAGCCCAGTAGGCTCAGGAATCTGTACACCTGTTGATTGACGGTCGAGAGGCGGGACCAAAGAGCCAGAGCTCAATCCCCGCAAGTACAACTAGGTGAGTACAACACACATATATACTTGAAGTTGTATCATTTCACTTTCACCTATATATATATATATATATATATATATGTCGTACCTAGTAGCCAGAATGCACTTCTCGGCCTACTATGCAAGGCCTGATTTGCCTAATAAGCCAAGTTTTCCTGAATTAATATACTTTATCTAATTTTGTTCTCATGAAATGATAAAGCTACCCATTTCATTATGTATGAGGTAATTTTTTTTTTATTGGAGTTAAAATTAGCGTAGATATATGACCGAACCTAACCAACCCTACCTAACCTAACCTAACCTATCTTTATAGGTTAGGTTAGGTTAGGTAGCCGAAAAAGTTAGGTTAGGTTAGGTTAGGTAGGTTGGGTAGTCGAAAAACAATTAATTCATGAAAACTTGGCTTATTGGGCAAATTGGGCCTTGCATAGTAGGCTGAGAAGTGCGTTCTGGCTATTAGGTACGACATATATATATATATATATATATATATATATATATATATATATATATATATATATATATATATATATATATATGCATATGTCGTACCTAGTAGCCAGAACGCACTTCTCAGCCTACTATGCAAGGCCCGATTTGCCTAATAAGCCAAGTTTTCATGAATTAATTGTTTTTCGACTACCTAACCTACCTAACCTAACCTAACCTAACTTTTTCGGCTACCTAACCTAACCTAACCTATAAAGATAGGTTAGGTTAGGTTAGGTAGGGTTGGTTAGGTTCGGTCATATATCTACGTTAATTTTAAATCCAATAAAAATTTTTTACCTCATACATAATGAAATGGGCAGGATTATCATTTCATAAGAAAAAAATTTGAAAAAATATATTAATTCATGAAAACTAGGCTTATTAGGCAAATCGGGCCTTGCATAGTAGGCTGAGAAGTGCGTTCTGGCTACTAGGTACGACACACACATATATATATATATATATATAATATATATATATATATTATATATATATATATATATATATATATATATATATATATACATATATATATATACATATATACATATATATATATATATACATATATATATATACATATATATATATATATATATATATATATATATATATATATATATATATATATATAGTATATATATATATCAGTAAAGGTCAGAAACCAGAAATGCCCCATAGGCTGAGGGACACAATTAGCTTCATCTCACTCCCATGTAGTCCCCTAATAAGGAGGAGGACTGAGGTAGGAGCACAAGTTAAAGGAACTTAAGCTCACAACCCTAGATAGAACAGAGGGGATATGCTCACTACATACGAGATACTGAGCACAATAGACAAAATGAGAGCCTCTTTAAATTGAGTAAAATTGGAAGGTTTAATGCTATGCGTATTAGTGGCTTTAGGTATTGTATGTACTAGCTCTATCTATAAATCTAACTTTATGTTTGCAAATCATCTATGTATGTACTTTTCCTGAATAAAGAATTTGAATTTTGAATTTTTAAACACTATAGACATTAAGCCCCGCCCCCTCGCGCGCCAAGCCCCGCCCCCCGCGCATGCGCAGTAGCCGTGGTCCCCAGAGAGTCAGCCATCAGTCGTCAGCCAACCTTCAGACTGGATATTACCTCCTTTACGGCTCAAAACTCTTCGCTGGGTTTTTCTCGCACATTTTCTAACCGAGATTTATTAGTTCTTTTGATGTTTTTCAGTCTCAAACGTGTGAGAATTATTGTGTTTGTTTGTTTATATGTGTATGTCGTGTAGGATTGCTAGAGGCTATTTGCTTCTAAAAATATTTTAATTTTGTTTTTTTTCATGATAAATGTAAGATGGTGTGTGTGTGTGTGTGTGTGTGTGTGTGTGTGTGTGTGTGTGTGTGTGTGTGTGTGTGTGTGTGTGTGTGTGTGTGTGTGCTCACCTTAATCCACCTCTTTGTGCCAGCAGGAACGAGCTGTGGATCTTGGACCCCGCCTTTCTACCCACTAGTTTTCAGTTCTCCAGACCTGGCTTTCTTTCATATCTGCTTTTAAACAATGACTAGAGATCGCTTCCCCAACCTGCCCCCTGAAGTCATTTCAATTTCCTTTTATTTTTACGTTAAGACTAAACTTTATAACATCTCTATGGCTCATCTGTTCCTTAACCCTCATGACCTTCTGTTCCATTAGTATTCACATCGAACATTTCTCTTTTCCAGTATGTTATTCCTCCTTTGTATTACATATGTCTCTATCATGTCTCCTCTCTCCTCTTTCCTAGCAAGATTAGGTCTAGTTCTTTGAGTCTTTCTTCATATCCAATCCCTCGTAATTTTGAGACGAGCCTAGTTGCAAACTAAGCTCTGTAACTTTGTTCTTGTGTGTGTTTGGAGTTCAAGGATGGGGCTGCATACTCTAGAACTCGTCTCACGAAGGTGAACTGAAATCTAAGACCCCTTCTTTATTTTTTATCTTTATTCTTGAATAAATGTTCTGATTTTTTTCAGTATGAAGTATGCTGCTGATATTCAATTTATATATGCCACCAGAGATAGACTTGGCGATATATCTACTCCTAGTGGATATCAATCCACTAAGTCAATCAGTATTGAGTATATCAATCAATTGTCTTGTTAATTGTCTTGTTACTTGTTCTCTAGTAATTACCAGGTAGTATGTTTGAGCAAGTACTCACCTAGTTGTGCTTGCGGCGGTTGAGCTCTGGCTCCTTCGTCCCGCCTCTCAGCTGTCAATCAACTGGTACTTACCTAATTTACCTAATTGTGCTTGCGGGGGTTGAGCTTTGGCTCTTTGGTCCCGCCTCTCTCAACGGTGTACAGGTTCCTGAGCCTACTGGGCTCTATCATATCTACACTTGAATCTATGTATGGAGTCAGCCTCCACCACATCACTGCCTAATGTATTCCATCCGTTAACTACTCTGACGCAGAATAAATCTTTCTAATGCCTCTGTGGCTCATTTGTATACTAAGTTTCCACCTGTGTCCCCTTGTCCGCGTTCCACAAATGCTAAATAGTCTGTCTTTATCTACCCTGTCAATTCTTCTGAGTTTTGTAGGTAGTGATCATGTCTCCCCTAACTTTTCCAGGACGTGAGGTCCGAGAAAGTGCAGTCGCCCTTCTCTTTCTTTATATGTATATTATATATATATGTAAATTAATGAAAAAAAACACTTAGCTCTAAGCACGTTGCAAATCACCTCAAGTCTAATTAAGCGAAGTGGGAGGCGGGGAGGACGCGACCGTCTTGGCCCCAGATCATGTGGTCCATATACCCGGGGCCTGCAAGGTCCGCCTCACACGCCAATGTTGAAATCAATTTGGTCAACACGTTTCAACACGGAGCGATATAAACATCTCTATATGTCACAGCATTCGTGTAGGGGGGTGTCCTCCCACGGTGGGGGGAGGTGTCCTCCCACGGTGGAGAAGAGGGGGGGGGGTGTCCTCCCACGGTGGAGGGGGGGGGGTGTCCTCCCACAGTGGGGGGGAGGGGGGGTGTCCTCCCACAGTGGGGGAGAGAGGGGGTGTCCTCCCACGTTGGAGGGGAGGGGGGGGGTGTCCTCCCACGGTGGAGAAGAGGGGGGGTGTCCTCCCACGTTGGGGGGAGGGGGGGGTGTCCTCCCACAGTGGAGGAGAGAGGGGGTGTCCTCCCACGGTGGAGGGGAGGGGGGGGTGTCCTCCCACAGTGGAGGAGAGAGGGGGTGTCCTCCCACGTTGGGGGGAGGGGGGAGGAGAGAGGGGGGTGTCCTCCCCCTTCGTACTAAGACTAGGGAAAGGATAGGTCCATTAAAAACTGAGACAGGTCAAATAACAGATAGTGATGAAGAGATGAGTAGTATTTTTAATAAATATTTTGTATCTGTATTTACTAAAGAGGAGCTTAACAATATGCCTTCAGCCGAACAAGTCTATGTGGGTGGGGACGAGGACAGGTTGACGAGTTTAGCAGTTACCAGGGAGGATGTTCTTAAACAAATAGTAAAACTCAAACCAAACAAATCCCCAGGGCCGGATGAAGTGTTTGCTAGGGTGCTTAAAGAATGCAAAGAGGAGCTTTGTGACCCACTGTCAACCATATTTAATAAATCAATAGAGTCAGGCAGAGTGCCAGAGTTTTGGAAAGTTGCTAATGTGATACCAGTTTTTAAGAAAGGAGATAGATCACTTGCGTCTAACTATCGACCAATTAGCCTAACGTCTATTGTGGGAAAGTTACTCGAATCTATAATAGCAAATAAAATTCGTCTTCATCTTGAAAAACATAAATTAATAATTGAGTCGCAACATGGTTTTATAAATGGCCGTTCATGTTTAACAAATTTGTTATCTTTTTATTCTAGCATTGTTGAGGCAGTTGATAGTGGTAAGGATTGCGATGTTGTATACCTTGACTT